TGGCGAAGACGGGATGCGCCCAACCCGAACCCGCAGACGCAGTCCCAACACTGGCCTTCTTGCGAAAGACCGTTAGACAGCGGTCCAAGATCGCGGTCCAAGCCTGGTGGGATGCTTCTGCACCTGATAAGTACAAGCACCTGAACCTCAAGCTCCCTTCTAACTGTCCACCGGAGCTAGCTCTCCCACGTATAATCCTTCACCATCTGCTGGCCGCGAGGACCTATCACGGTGATTTTGCTGACTACCACGAAAGATTACACCACAACAACGCTTGTGTTGCTTGTTCTTGCGGTCAGCGCAAGGCGCCAGCGAATCTCCTCTATTGTCGGAAGATTCAGCCGCGTTGTCTGGATGAGGCTTGCTCCCTCCCCGACCGTGGCGATCAACCAGGCAATAGGAAAAGATTTCGACAAATTCGTCAAGCTGGTGAAGGCAAGCTCTTTCTTCGAAAAGATCTGCCCGCACCACTAGACGAAATCATCTAACACAGCACTGTCGTGCTCCCTTTCCTTTGATTCTTCTCCATCGGCGACAGGCGGAAGGTGGTCAACACCTTTTGTCCGCGCACGCCTCTTCTGGCTGCTACCGCAGCCCGCCCCACAAACCGAGCCGGTCTAGTAGATACTGTTGCAATATGCACAACTAGATACTGTTGCAATATTCACAACTTAATATCACGTGTAACATCATGTGTAGACCCGCAATAGGGTGAGACACCATGGATAGATATCGTGACTACCAACGCTCCCTTCTTTTCCTCCCTTGAATAGAAGATAGACTGAATTGATTATTACACCCCTGTTGCAGTACTGCATCCCCAATTGCCTTGTGATCCCAACAGATACCATCACCTGCACGACCCGCTGACGGGTAACAGAGTAGACTGTGAGCGCCTTTGAGCTGATGCCATGTTAGATAGTGTTATGTTTACGTAGTCTCAAGTAGCAAATTTAGCCACTAGCCTAACACGTCCTGTGCCCCGCTAGGGGACCTGCCAGTGGCATATTAGAGGCTGAGCAAATGTAAAGTTACTTGAATCGTTGGGCTTTAGGAGCTATAGCCACATGTGTAGAATATTCAGATAGGTTAGCGTAGCGGCCCTATAACTAGGGAAAACCCTCCGGGCGTAATAAAGGGGATTTGTTTTCGGCAAGGTGTGAATGTCAATCCAAAGTTTTATCGCTCGTTTCCAAAGCCGCTCTCGCGTGGTCGGGATAGCCGCTTCCGCTTCTGCAATGCTTGTCGCAACTGTGAGAAATGATCCCACGATCGCCCGCGCTCCCACTCTCTGGACGCGATTGATGGGTGCCATGTTCCTGTCCTTGTAGGCGTGCATCCAAATGTTCGAGGCATAGTCTACCACAGGGGCAACCGTGGCCGAGAACAGTTGTCGGGCGGTGACGCAGTCAGTCCCTTCAGTCTCGTCAGTTCCAATGCCGCTTCTAGACTGCTCTTGCGATGTGTTGCTTATACTTGAGCCGGGAATCCATAACCAGGCCCAGAATCTTGACGTGGTCCTTGGGATGGACATCTTGGCCTTTGATTGTGAAGGGGTCATCGCAGACTTTGTTTTTATTCTTCGTAAAATGAATGATTGCCGTTTTTTCTGCCTCGAACGGTGCTCCTCTTCTGCGCTCCCAATCCAAGGCGTTGTCTATAACGTCTTGCAGTTTGGCCCGGTTGAGTTGTACTGTCGGGCTTGCCACCCAGGCTGTGAAATCATCAACAAATGCTATCGCTCCTCCGTTCGCGTCGATGCGCCGTTGGACCAGATCCGCGTTGAAAAATAGGTAGAGGACCGGGGATAACGGCGACCCTTGTGGTAGACCAGCCTGTGGCAAGTCCCGCGCCTCAGAGGTCTGACCGTTAGCTTGCATAGTCGCTGTGCGATTGGAACAAAATGCTTCAATCCATCTGAGCAGGGCATCTGGAATCCCTCGTGCTTTCCAATCTTTGCAGCAGCCTCTCCTTACATACTCCGTTACAGGCTCCCTTCACATCGAAACTAATCAAGCTCACGACATGGCGTCTTCTCCATGCGATGTAAATGTATTCTTGAAGCACCATCAAGGCCTGTTCGGCAGATCGTTGTTTGCGGGCTCCGAAGTGGTTGGTGGGTAGCAATCCGTATGTTTCCACTGCGTGAGAGATCCTCTCTGCTATTACCAATTCCAGGATCTTGCCTAGGGTGGCCAGTAACGAGATGGGCCTCCAAGCTTTTCGCGATTGTGTAGTTTTCCTTTCCGGGTTTCTTTAGAGGGATAATCCTGGCGTGCCTCCATTGATCGGGCAAGACGCCATCATTGATGGATGCCTGGAACAGCGCCAGCACTCTATCCTTGACCACTGGCTACACTTGCCTCCAAACCGCCACAGGCAGACCGTCTTCGCCTGGCGCTTTCCACGGCTTAGCCGTTTTGAGTTGACGTTCTATTTCCTCCATCGTGAGGTCTGGCATCGATACGGCTGCCCTCTGCGGCCGGACCCCTTCATCCTCGATCTGTTCCGGGAGGGGCGGAAAGAAGGTATTTAGTAGTTCCTCCGCCTGTTCTTTACCGTCGAGCGTGCGCGATCCATCGGCCCTGACGAGCTGTGGCACTCTGTCGAAAGCCGCAACTTTGCCAGATTTGAGGTACTTTGCTGCTTGCCAAATGTTGTCGTTGTCGGCAAGGAACTCGTTCCAATGGGATTTCTTCTGCTGTCGAATAGCGTCGTGGTACTGTTTGGCCGCGGCCCTGGCCGTGTTTTCCAGTTCCGTTGTACAGGCCCCTGCACGGCTCTGATTCCTAGCCTGGTTTCGCCAATACGTGTGAATTCGACGGAGTTGCGTCAGATCGGTCATCCACCATCGCTTCGCGTGCGGCGAGGGTTTGGCCCTTGGTGTCAAAGATCGCACGGCTTCGCAAACCACGGACATGAGCCTGTTCGTGTTTTGCTGTACCGTCCCCTGGGTTGGTAGCTTCTCCAAGTTCTCCGCAATCCTCGTATTGATTTGCTTCCAGGGTGCGTTCTTAAAAAGAAGGCGCTCCGGCTGCTGCTGGTCAGGGGTTTCCACCTCAAAAACCGTTTCTATCGCTTGGTGGTCTGACCCATGGTCTGTTTCACGGATTGCACATTTAATCATACTTGTCGCGAGCTCTTCCGAAGCCAGGACTAGCTCAATGGTCGACTCAAATTCTTGTCCTTGCCAGGTCTTCGTGCCCCTAGGAAGAAGACTCCCGAGAGCCAGTTCGTTCATGAGATCAATAATGTCGTCGCCTTCACCTTGCCTCATCCAAGATATGTCGTCTCCGCCCCACAATTGGTCGTGACGGTTGAAGTCCCAACTATCACCCTGCCCCGCGTTCCGTCTGGCCTCCGCGACCACTTTCCGCAAGAGGTCTCAGGTCTCCGCCAGTGTGTGCGAGTCTCCTCCTCCTACATAAACTGACACAACCAAAACCTGTCGCCCAGGCAGCCGCACGACAGCCGCCGCAGTCAAATCCGACGATTCTATCACCATTTGCTCCACCTCTAGATCCTTCCTTATCCAAAGCATGTTCCGGATAGCCCATCTCCCCTCTGCAGCGTAGCGGGAAGGTACGCCGTGAACAACTGCCCCCGAAGACTGACGGAACGAACTTGACTACGACACAGCGGCCCGTGACGAAATAAACCACCAGACTGGCCTTACGCCGGTCAGCATCCGAACCCCACGCCGCGACAATGAACAGCTTCCTCGTCCGTGACGAAATAAACCACCATACTGACCTTACACCGGTCAGCATCCGAACCCCACGCCGCGACAATGAATGGCTTCCGTACAAGACCCTCATCATTTCCTTCATTGAACCAACGAAACGACCTTCGAGTCTGTTCGGTACCAGCCGACCAGCCAGGCTCATCGAGAGCAACAACCCTCCCAAACAGTGTGATAACTGCTGGGACTTTCATACACGACATGCATGCAACAGACAGACACGCTGCACGCATTGTGGAAAGACTGGCCACACCAGTGAAAGCTGCGGTGCGGCCGAGCAATGCGCCAACTGTCTTGGACCACACACCGCAGAGCTCGCGAACTGCCCAGCTCGACCACCGGCCACACCATTGTAAGCTGTGGTGCGGCCGAGCAATGCGCCAACTGTCTTGGACCACACACCGCAGAGCTCGCGAACTGCCCAGCTCGACCAAAGAAAATGCGCGGTCTTTACCATCGCCTTTCAAGGGAACAACGATCGGTCGTCAGACAGATGGGCTCCCAGCTCTTCCAGCAACACCAGGCGGTACAGCAGCGACAGCAATCGCAGGCGACACCCAACGAACACA